TTTGAGTACTCCGAGAGAGTAGAAAAGCGCTATATAAGAATCAGTCCATTTACCAGTAAGGAGCAGTTGAACAGATATACCTAATAAAGTGGCTGGTAAATATATATTATCTCAATTGGTGTTTTGATGATGGTTGTCTTGTGAAATGGCCATTCAGATGATGATAAATTACGTCAACATCTGGTCCACAGGGGGTCAAAGGTTCAGGTTTTGTCCTTTCATTTTCACCATTTTCACCAGTTTATATAAAGAAAGGTTTTCTACACAGAGCTAATGTTAACAGGACACTTTGCTCCATATTTGTTCCTTAAAATGTTGTATGTCTTGGTGTATGACATCTATGATTATTAAAGCCTGAGCGCTCATGCGTGCAATTTTAATATTTATGTTCTTATGGTGAATCGTCCGAGCACCGAGAGTGCCTTTCATGTAGCTCGGCACGTGACAGAAGCTGTCCGTGTGCTTGTTTGTTTAACACAGTAGACATGAGCCAAGCTCAGCATACACAGGGAGGCTGACTGAAGCATAGACGGCCTGGTCATCAGCTTACTCTTTACTTTGTTTCCTGCTTCCGATGGCCACAGTGATTGAAACAACACAATTGTAATATGTGCTTGTTGGGTGGCAAGGCGGCTGTATTACAATCACATCAGCCTGCAGGCTTTGTTATCTTCTATCAGATCTGACAAATGGAGTTTTATAGGCATGTGCACACTCAACATATAGTATATTGAGTAAAATGGAATTACAGATGCTTATATGTGCAGTGTTTTCATCCTTAGGGCAGGTCTGTTGGTCGCTGAGCCCAGCAGGGAGGTTGGTATGTCATTATCATCAGTCTATAGAAGCAACCCGGTGTGAAACCTGTGGAAAAAAAGTGATGAATAGGAAGTGGCAGGGATGCAACATGCCCTCTAGGATCTGAGGACTGGGTAAGGGGGAGGTTGGAAAAATCAGGCCACATATATCCTCTGATAGGAGCGGTCGGCGGATACGTGCAACGAAAGGGCAGGAAGATTGTATCAACATCGTATAATTGCCTTATCTCCGCCCAGAGTTGTTACATCATCGTAAGCCTGCAACATGAATTTCTGTAAAATAAAACAGCACCTGTGAAGCTGCAGCCGCCCTTGCTGATCTTTGTAATCCTATTCAGCCAGACTAGAAGAATTGCTCCGTGGATAGCAATGTGGCTGACTGATTCATCACAGTCATTGTGTCAAGAGGATGAACCCTGTTGACTTTGTTGAGACACGTTTATTTATTTTTTTTTACGGCAAACCAAATTTTACAACCAACTATGATAACACTGCCAGCATGGCTGCTTATTTTTCTTAATTCACAAAAACAGAGCCAAATTGCAAGGCAGAGTAATGCAACCAGCGTCCCCGACCTCAGTTA